ATTTCCCATTGCTGCTGCCTTAATTGTCATAATCCGGGAAAAGTGACGAGAAAATCAGCCGGGTAGTTTCTGGGAACAAAATGTATGACAACAACGCACACAAAGTTAAGAAAACTAATTTTGAGTACAATTTATATTGTTTTTATTATATTTATTATTGATTTAAAATAAATAGATAAATAAATTTACCTCTAATATAAAATCCTTTATTTAATATTCTTATCAAAATCGCAATAAAACTTATCACACTGTGCCTGTCTCGGCTACGGGCGTAAAGAGCTCAACAAAGGCAGAGTCTGTGCCTTTGTTGAGCTCTTTATGCCCGTAGCCGTCCCATAAACGTTAGAACCAACGTTACAACCGTGGTTAGAACCAACGGTCACGATAGTCTGGGTGCCAGACTGTTTCCAGGGCCCACACAGGCCAGTTCCTCGGCTCCAGAGCCAACACAGGCCAGCTCCTCTGCTCCAGGGCCAACACAGGCCAGCCCCTCGTCTCCAGGGCCTACACAGGCCAGGTCCTCGGCTCCAGGGCCTACACAGGCCAGGTCCTCGGCTCCAGGGCCTACACAGGCCAGCTCCTCTGCTCCAAGGCCTACACAGGCCAGCCCCTCTGCTCCAGGGCCTACACAGGCCAGGTCCTCGGCTCCAGGGCCTACACAGGCCAGGCCTCGGCTCCAGGGCCTACACAGGCCAGCTCCTCTGCTCCAAGGCCTACACAGGCCAGCCCCTCTGCTCCAGGGCCTACACAGGCCAGCTCCTCTGCTCCAGGGCCTACACAGACCAGCTCCTCTGCTCCAAGGGCTACACAGGCCAGCTCCTCTGCTCCAGGGCCTACACAGGCCAGCTCCTCTGCTCCAGGGCCAACAGCCCACTAAAACCCCCTATACTATATAGGTACTATATATATAGGTACCCATTGCCCAAACACTTATGTCCCACTCAAAAGTCAAAACCATAACAAAGCTGCATGCTAGATTACCTATAATTGTCCTTGGCCTTTGTCACCCCAAACTTACCTACCAAATATTATGATGATAACGTTACATGCATTACACCCAGAATTAGATATTATAACCGTTTAGAAAAATCGGCAATCCCTATAATGATATGAATCTTTATTGCATGTTCTTGCCCAGATGGGCTAAATGCACAAGAGGACATGTAGTATGCAAAACATGTGTATTGCATACTGGAATATACGCTATAGCTATATTCTAATTGTAACGATACTATATACTACCAATCATCTATTGATAGTTGCACTTTCTTCTCTCTTTGTGAAACATCTGGAAACATAATTACATAGTTTGTCTGCTATACATTCGTTCTTGCATGACATCAAGTGTTTAAAAATAGATACTTAATTTCTTTCCCGGGCTTATTTCCGCTGGTCGAACAACTGATGGCATCCAACCGCAAAAAGCAAACGTTCTGTTACTAACCACAAAACAGCAACGTTTGCAGTCTAATATTGAACTTATATTAGCACTTCTATAATAGGGGCAGTTTTATTACAAAGAGAAAATGTCATTTATGTTCATCATTTGTTGGTGCCGTGCTGCTTTTGTCCGTACATGTAGATGCGTTTTCTTTAGTCCGTAGGGGATCATCAAGAGGCGCAGGTGCCGAGAGGGTGGAGTGTCCCTAGGCTGCCGACTTTTCACTTTCACTTTTTCAGACAAACGCGTGACGACACCCCCTGACAAAGGTATTGATTTAAATATTTTGTCTTTGGTAGTTCGCTGCACTGTAGATGCAACTTTAGGGCCACTGTAAGAAACAGAGGCGAACATTAGAAACAGACTTCCTGGTCCCGGGGTTCGAACCCCCGCGCCAGCTTACAAAATTCGACGCTCCTACTGAATCGGCTAAAAGGTCTAGACCCATCGGCCGGGTCAGTTGGCAGCGCCTATAACCCCCCCCCCAACCCCATTGTTACACTACTTCCCCTTTTCTTTTTCAAGATTCGTCCTCGAATCTTCCGAATTCGACATCCCTGGAGTGGCGCTCTTTGTCAGAACTCCCAGGGCCGGTGTGGGAACCACAGTAAGAAACAAAGGCGAGCAGTAGAAACAGATAAAACCCCTCCTGATCCCCTCATGGTCTGTCACGGCCCCCAGGCGCCAGCTTACAATTCGACGCTCCTACTGAAGCAGCTAAAAGGTCCAAGCAGAGGTTGTGGGGGAATGATCGTTACCTTTTTATATATGGCCGTTTTTTTTTGTCCTGATCCCCACCACCCGTCGGTGGCCGCGGACCTTCTCTGGCTAATGGATACTGTCTGGCCAATTTGATACTGTGTGTCTTTTTTGCCACCGATAGGGATCTGTTTGGAGATTATAAAAGGTCTAGACCCATCGGCCGGGTAAGTTGGCAGCGCCTATAAACGCCCCACTGTTACACCACGTTTACTTTCCTGCGTTTGTGCGAGAAAACCATCTGACTTGTGTGACCCATGTCGTACTTTAAGTTTAACAGAACTCATATGCCATTGCCGTTTTTACCTCCATGAAAATGGAGGTATTGTTTTTGCCGCGTCTGTGTGTGCGTGTGTGTGTGTGTGTGTGTGTATGTGTGTTTGTGTTTCCGCATATTTGTACCTTCATAACTCCATAACGCCTTTATGGATTGTGATGATATTTGGTATGCTGGTAGGTCTTAGGAGGACAAAGGTCAAGGTCAAATATGGGCCTCCTGGTGGATGGCCTTGGTACTGCAGCAGCACTTCCGGTTTAAGGTTGAGTCAGAGCATGGCTGAGAGGAATCTCCTTTGTACTTGCGAGCCAGGCTAACAGATGTGGCTATGCCGAGCGAGGCAGCGCGCTCCCTCAGGGGAATAGGTGACCTATTTCAGGGCAAATGTGCCACTGTATGGCTGTGTGTTTGAAAACAAACAACCTGTGTTATTACCTCCATGAAAATGGAGGTATTGTTTTTGTTGCGTCTGTCTGTGTGTCTGTCTGTCTGTCTGTGTGTTTGTGTCTCCGCACATTTGCGGCCAGCATAACTTCATAACGCCTTTATGGATTGTGATGATATTTGGTATGCTGGTAGGTCATGGGAAGACGAAGGTCAAGGTCAAATATACGCCTCCTGGTGGATGACCTTGGTACTGAAGCAGAACTTCCGGTTTTTGTATCTTTTGTCCTGAATATGCTATGGTCTTGATTTTTTGGTGGCAGATAGATTGTCCTGTCAGGAATAAGTGGTGTGGGTTTGGTCCCCCTAGCAGCTTGTTCTGGAACTGCAGGGGACTTTCGGGCGAAATATTTAAAAGCCAATAAGTCCAGATAGAAACAATGTATTTTCATCATTTTTGGTAGGTAAGTAGCTGAGAGAGAGATGTACATAATTAACTGCAAATTATGCAAATGAGGACTTAATTTGCATAATTAATGAGGAAATTCTATAATTACAGTGTTTTGCATTATAGTACTTTCATACATGTAATGTATGTAATCTATGGCAGATGGAACTTCACCAGATACCAATTATGCAAATGATGACCTAATTTGCATAATTAATGCGAAAATTCGTGGTAAATGATGGGAATTTCATACTTGGTACATGTGTAAGTTAATCAAAAGTTAACATCACGATGCATTTATTATGTTAATGTGGAGGCAATTTGCATAATTAAAGAAGAAATTAACATTTACATGTCAAGCCCATATTTCATGGAGGTATGAGATCTCGGAACTCTTGTCTTTTATGCAATGCAGGTTTAGTCACCAAGACAGCAGGTGAATAAACTGTGATGAAGAGTGTGCAGTACCGCGAAGAGCCGCCAGATGGCGGTTGGGGCTGGTTCGTCGTCCTCAGCAGCATCCTGTGCCACTTCAGCATTGTCGGTCTCGCCAAGTCGTTTGGTGTCTTCTTCCCGTACTTTCTTGAGGCGTTTGGAGAAGACGCGAGAACCACGGCCTGGGTCAGCTCTATACAAGGAGCGACATGTTTCTTCGGCTGTAAGAAATGCAGATTTTGCTGTGTACTTTCTTAGGCCACACCGACTTAATTTTATGGATGACATCCTCTGAAGACCCCCAAACTAGTGCGCGCGGGCGAAAAAAAAAGAAAATCCGGCCAAAATAAAAATAGCTACTAAACCACAGTAATACAAAGCCGGTATTGTGAATTTGGCGCATTACATAGCGACGTATACGACAGGCCGACACATGCTGGCTTTTTGCTGGCTGAGTTCTTGAGTCGTGGAGCTTCGGTACCCTGGGTGCCGTCCTCCAGCTAGAGTTACCACCGGCTTCATTGTCGCTTACCACCATGGACTATCCGGGCCTAAAGCCAGGCCAGAGCCTCTGAAGACGTGATTTTTTTTTGGGGGTTGGGGGGG